TTTTGCTTTAAGTTTGATTGACTTTATCTTTTTTTTTTTTTGTGAGTAGTAAAAATATGAAGATGGATGCAAAATTTGCACTGCCAACAAATGCAAATGAAACAAAAATGTACAGTTTATGCATCAAACAGGAGTACAAATTATGATTATAAACAAGTGGATGCAAAATTGAACCAGATGTGAATCTTGCATCCAGTGCACTACAAACAAACAGAGCCAAATGTTTATATAAATATAGTTTTTGAGTTTCATAAAAAAATGATTAAATTCTTTCTTCTAATGCTGTGTTTGGTTTGAAAGAAAAGGTAAGGAAAGGTGGGGAAACTTGTACAAACCTTGTATACGTTTCCCTACCTTTTCCTTTCTTGTCCTATCTTTTCTTTCAAACCAAATGCATAATAAAGGGTTCAACTATACCAAAAACTAGAAAAGCTCACAGCCAATCAAGTGTTATTATAAAAGAGATGACCAGTCAAGTGGTATTAATCAAAATTTACAGGGGTGCTTTGATTGGTGAAAGCTCTACCGATACCATGTCTTTTCTTTATCATGGAGAAGGATTTATTTAACCAAATCATTCAAACCAACAACATCAAGCAGTTATGACAAAGGAAGAAAAACTATGGCATACCCAGTTACTACCCAATTAAGGCTGATTCAAACCCTATCAAAGAGCATTGGTCCTCTTGGACCATGGAAATTAGAAATCCAATGAAGTTGATAAAGTGGGATATAGTTGTATAAGGTTGAAAACTACAATAAAAGCCAATGCGATGTTTGTTATGGCTTTCTTTTATTTGAAAAAAATGGTTGTACTTGATTTATCTTTAAAACTAAAAAAAAGTGGTTGATAAATATTTTTCTACTGTTATTCACAGTTAGGTACTACGTAAGTAGAACAGTAAATAAATATTATGATATTGGAAAAACATTAAAATAAAATTTTCTCAAATATTTGACTTACACATAAACCAAGAAAAATGTTTATTTGATAAACAGACTTACTAAATAGCATTTTGGGACAAACGGCCACATGGCAATGAACTAACACTGTTTTACGAATAAACGAAAGCCATATCAAACACCATGTAACTGAGTGGTGGCTCGATTGATACATAAATTGGGTAGTCCGAAAAGGGATATGATTTCAAGTCCTATTATCGGCTCCCACCACCTTTGAAAAGAATTATTAAAATGTTGTAATATCACAAAAGGCGAGTGATTTAATACCAAGAAAAAAAAACAAAACATAAACCTTGAAAAGATAAGAAATATGAAACAAGATACCTAATGCCATCAATTGCCCATCTTGTGTAGTACGGCATTAAATGATTTCCCAAAAATTAATTTCATTATAGAAAATAGCTTTTATTAATTGTCTGTGATGTATAATTTGTAAATATTTATCATCTTACCTTGAGAAAAGAAAATGGAGTGGAGTGACTAAAGCTGTGTTTGGCTTTGTGGGTATTTATTGAAAAAATACCGCTATATCAGCACCACACAAGTATTGGCATTTATTACAGAAGAAGCAAAATGAAATAACTGTTTAATTTTACTGTTTATCAAATAAATGGTAGAAAACTGAAACACTTTGGTTTTTGTGTATAAGGTATTTGGAGAAACGTCAAATTTTTGTTTCTCCCAACACCCGAGAGTTTCTTGAAACTAAATACTGATGTAGCACACTTTAATGGTATTAATCTGAGGTGGAGGGTGAAAAACGTATAAAATAAAACTCAACCAAACAACAAAAACAGGAAATGTTTAAAATGAAAAAATATAAATAAACGCTTAAAGTGAAAATGTACAAATAAATGACCTATCAGTAAACTCCAAAGAACCAAACACATACTAAGGATGAATTATGTTTCTTTCTTCAACTCGGGGTTCATTTATTAACGTTTTTCTGAGTGTTAAGAAAGTAAAGTCCAATGAAAGAAGACTTGTACTTACAAGGCTCCAGTGGAAGGTCGCCCATTAGTCAAACGAATTAGGATCTCCTACCAACAAAAACCCCTATCAATTCTAACACCGCACATCTCACCCTGAGACTGCGACCCAACATGAATCAGATGTACAGTGTCAGATCATGTTGGTAGGAAGTTGAAATAGGACACTAGTCAAGTAATCACGATACAGATGTCATGGGGTCGAATTTGTTACGGGTTTTGTTCAACCAAACACTCAATTCCAAATCCGATCCAACTAAATGAAGAGGGATATTGAGACCCGTTGACCTAGTTTCACAAATACTATTCTATAATTGGTAAAGGTTATAGTTTCAAATGTTTCAATGCTACTACGGTGTTGGACAGAAAACCAGTTAAGCTGACCCGACCCTGATCCAATACGGTCGGGCCAAAGGTGAATTTACCACTTAACCCAATCCACCGACACGGCAACACCATGTGTCAGCTTTTTTATGAGCAAGTATTTTTGTCACTGGGTTGTGTTTAGGGGGTGTTGCACAATTTTTTTTTGGGGGGGGGGCAAGAAAGAATTATTTACTAAAACACCCCCTTATGGTTTCACGAATTTACTTAAACCTACTAATATAAATTTCATTTTATTAAAATACACCCTCTAATTTGCAACCTATTTATTTTATTGACCTCTCTTTAATAAGTGTTTGTTTCGAAAATAGTAATATAATCATTTAAACTGAATAGAAAATGTTCAAGGGCATGGGGCCATTGATTGTTTATTTCGAAAGTACTCCCTAATACTTCTTCATACAAAAAAAAATGACCAAATGGAGCCAAATAGAATGGTTGCACATGTCCTACTAAGGGAAAAATTGATATTTTCATTTTTATTTTTTTAGATCAAATTTATTCAAATGGACATTAGGGTCAAAGTTGTCATTTCAACAGTCATCTAATGGAAGGCCAATTAAGACTGTTTGGCATCAATGCCATTTTCTGAGAAAATGGCCTCTTATTTGGCATCATTTTTCCAAAAAAAATGTTGCTCCAAACCAAGGTTCAAAATATCGATACGCCCAATATGTCGGTAGGGGCGTACCGGGCATTTTGATACTTGTTTTTTACTTCTTTTTTTTTTCAAAACTGGTTCAGGGGAGCCAGTCTAGGACCCCTCCATCCCCTGAACATGTCAGACCCCCGATACACCCACTGTAGGGGCGTATCGGAAGGGTCCCAAAACGATATGTATCAGCCGATACGTAACGATACTTTGAACCTAGCTCCAAACCACATCTTGGAAATCGGAAAAGTGTGGTATGAAGAAATGCCAAATTCAATGTTTTCTCAAAAAACAGTTCGTTGTTGTTAGTGGTGCAATGACGTGACATCAATGTGGCATCATCTTAGGCGTTGGATAATGTAAAACAATGCTGAAAACGATTATACAACACTAGTACCAAACAAAACCAGTGTTGTTTTCCCAGAAAATAGCCTATATGACAACATCGATGCCAAACAAAAAAAAAATGAGCCGTTTTTTGAGAAAATGGTGCAATAGTCCCTCCTACATACAGCACCGTTTTCTCAGAAAACATCTCCGAAGCAATGGCATCTACGCCAAACAACTACTAAATAAATTGCAAGTTATAGGGGTGTTTTAGTAAAAGGTAAACTATAGGTAGGTTTTAATAAATCTATCAAACTATAGGAGTGTTTTAATAAATGAGCCAAAAAAACAAGTGCCACATCAATAAAATTATATTGCTTTCGCCGACATGGCACTTATTTTTATTTTCAAAAACAAAACCAACCATGTTGTCCAACACTCCACTAGAAAATAAAAGGATCATTTACTAAAACACACCTTATAGTTAGATGTATTTGCTAAAACCTATCCTTAAAATGAATGAAAAATTAGAAAAAACACGAGCCCAGGGTTTTTTTCATTCTAAAAATATCTCTTAATAATTCTCACATCAACCAGTCATAAACAAAATCCTATCCCGACAAAATCTCTAGAAGGCATGGAGTGTGACTGATATGAGAACTATTAGGGATCTTATTAAAGTAAAAAATCCTGAACCCATGCTCAGTCCTATTTTCACTCATTTTAAAAAGTTATGGGACCACTCCTATACAGAATTACAAACAATTCCTAACGAAGGGTCAGTAAAGCATGATTTTTGAACCGTCGCTGTTGCAAACAGTTGGACCATTCGACCAAAAATCCACCCAGACAACCGGTTCCGTTTTACCCCAAACCTGGTCATTGGCCAAAACCATTGAATCAGTCAATGACCCATTGATCCGAGTGGTCGACCCGTCGACCCATTGACCCATTCAACAGTTTTTGGCCGTTTTATGAATAGAGAAGTTTCCCCTTCCCTTATTTTCTTTCAAACCAAACACAGCCTTGAGATATGTATTACCACTCTAGCATTCTACCGTCCAAATATAGGATCACATCGAATTTATCCACCAAGGACTCGGATATATCATATAAAATTCCCACGTAAAGTGTAAACAGGTAGCGTTCTAGTAAACCACTTCGTGCTACTCTGGGATGCTTCACCCTACATAAAATATGATGGCACCCATGAAAAGGCACTACAAGAAACTGAATAGAAGTTGGAATTGTCTTTTTACAAGTAGTTTATAGTCATCACCTTCGAGGTCCAACAGTTGCATTAACTCGGTTGTTTTAGTAGCATTCCTTTTCATTCTTAAACGAATTTAATCCAAGTAACATTGTTCAGATTAATAAGAAATAAAGTAAATCATCTCTCCCAAAATGGGTAAGTTACAATAGTGTTAATGTTAAGTCACCATGGGTTACATGCAGAAAAATCTATATACAAAATGAACACAACTAAATGACAATTTAAAAAACAGATTTATCACGCAGACACGCAAGAGCATCCCTTGGAAGTTACTCTGCTCTCTTTCCAGGATACCCTCCCGAAACTTTTCCAGAAATTGAAATCATAGAATAGCTTATTATGATTGAGCAGCATCTCTCACAAATGCCAGCTGACAAGCCAAGGCAATGTGATCACTGCCCCATTTCTGAAAAAGCAACGTCAGCAAATACGTCTCAAATCAGTGTGGAAGTATGAATTTCAAAAGATAAAATATATCCAGTCACTTTTGATGATTAAACCAAAGTATCCAAGGAACCCTCTATGGTATTCTTTTAAAAAATGTCTGTCACCTTAAGGGTGGACTTATCCAGCCACGGACAATCTCTTGTGACAAAAGCAACCCATTTGGACAATCTGTTCTTCAGAAGTCAGAACCTTATTTGATGTTCAGTATATCTTGGTACGACAATCCATAAGACTACAATTTATTGGACGGCTATGATCATTCCATCAGTTTGGTTTTTGCCACAAGAGATCTCTAGGATGTAGTGCACCTTAACTATGTGTTCCATGCTCCAGCATGTGCATTAGATGTGTTAATGCAGGGAATGGATGATTATCCTAAAAATAATAAAATATGAATTTGTTGGTTAGTTGGTCCACTAGTCATGTTTTCCCATGATAATTGGATTAGGACTTGGCCACTAAGCCTACAACAATTAAATTAATGGAATTCCAAAACTGAGTAAATTCTTGATCTTACATGTGTTGGGAATCCAGGAGTGAATTGCATAATGTGTTTTGGTATTGTATCAAGCACCTTGACTGTCTGGAGACCTTCGGAATGCCTGGATGCAGATAAAATTTCAGTTAACATTTCAAATAGTTCTGTTTTGTCCCCAGGTTTCAACAGGCCAGAATCAACTTTACAATAAGGAAGAAGTTGACAGATCTTAAGTCAGGAAAAATGACATCAAAAGTAACTTGCCAGATATAGTCAACTGTTCCCAGAAATCGCCTGTTATAACTGGTAACTTGAGGTTCCCTGCTCGAGTCTCTTGTCCCAGAATAATCCTACAAAGCCAAAGGGAAAAAATCATCCAAATGCTGGTATCCTTTTCCTCAAAATAACTAAAACACACAAGTTGAAGGGATATGGGCGACCAAAAAGGGCATGGATTGTAGTAAAAAATGATTTAGTGCTCATAATTTAATAATAGATATGGCACTAAACAGAACAGAATGGTGAAACAACATTCATGTAGCTGACCCCATATAGTTGGGATGAGGCTATGAAGATCATGATGATTATAAATATATGGAAATGTGCAATGAAGTAAAAGCTACATCAAGTAGTTCTCACATTCCAGCATTAGCTACTATGATGCACATAATAAAATACTAAATCAATAATAATGTTGCAAGAACAGCATTAAACAGTGTCAAAGAAAATTATAAACTGAAACAACAATTATGAACTACCTCAACTTCTGCATACGTGCTCCTTAACTTAAGAGGATGCTCAAGAAGGGTGCACTCTGCATTTCCTGTTGCTGTTTCTATTTCCTTTGGAGTCCATAGGTACGGATCATAAGTATATTTCTCCATTTCTGCTAGTACAGACTCCTTGTGTGGAAGGAAACCATCTTGAACTTCACCACTCAATAGATAAGATTTTGATTCTTTTGTGATGATAACACATTCTTCTAAAGATTGATCTGCTTCTGCAAGATCAGGTCCTTTGAGCTTGTCCCCACATATAAAATCAAATGTAAAGCTATCTTTCTCATTGTCTACCTTGGATGAATGTGCACTGCTTTCAGTTTCACATACACATGCATCTTTAACCATGTCTACCACTTTTGGATCTACAGATATGCCATTAAACTCAATGCCAAAAGAAGTTTCTGACATATTCCCCAGATGAGCACTTTGGTAGGGAGTTTGCATCTTGGTTTCCTTATCTGTATCAATTATTTCAGATGAGAATCCTCCTAGGTTTTTCATAACAGAGTTTTCAGTAAGATTTAGAGAGGAAGCTTCTGAGACCAGTTCCATTAAACAAGAATCTGAAATGAAAGAACTTTCAGGCCTTGCATCAGTCCTAACTTCAGTGAGTCGAACATCACCTTCAAAAGATGATTCACTCTCTAAATCTTCTCTGTTAGTATTGCTAAGATTAGACTCATCATGCACCATAGGAACTGTCATATTACTCAGGTATGAATTTGACTGAGAAAGTCCACCCACAGATTGGTGGACATAAGAAAAATCTTCACCAACTTCCTTTTGATCAACAGAGAGCTTACCTTCCATTTGATAATTACTCGGGTTTTCCTTCGAACAATCACTAGCAAGGGAGGCAGTTGAGCCAATTTCTTCCTTACGGCCATCTACAATGTCAAGCTCTGTAATTTTTGTTGTTACATCAGAAATTGGATTATTGGCATCCTCATACTGTTCATTAGAGCAAGGTTTATTAGACATGTCTAAGACACCAATAACATGCTGAGGCTGGGAAAAGTTCCCTCTTGAAAGCAGATGTTCCACATCATTACTTGATTTGTTCTGATCATGCACGTCTGTTAGATTATCACTTTGCTTGATGCCAAATCCCATTTCATCAACCATCTCTGAAGCTCCAATTGAATCACTACTTGACTTTCCCCTGCAACATAGTGAAGCCTTTCTTATCTCAACCTTCCTTGGAACATAAAATCCAATTTGACTTCGCCAATTGAATTACCTGTACAAGCCATTCACAAGGTTCCGGTCTGGTGGCTTTGGGGCATGAATTTCAGCAGAAGATTGCCCAGATATCTGATCTCTAGCAAGTCCAGATAAATCTAACTGAAGGATATGAAGCACAGAACATTAAGCATTGGGTGCTACATAATATGTCAAGCATCAAAACATAGAAAATAAAGTTCATAGACTAAAAAAAATTGAGCATTTACCTTTTGTTCCAATATGTAGTTATATAATGGACTCTGAGCCAAAGAAAATAACAAATAAATAAATGTCAGTGTCATTCTAGCATCATCTAAGAAAAATTTTGAACTGAAGCCTCCACTGAAGAGGAATGATATCATGGATGTACTTTTGGAGTACAGTTGAAATCCCCACAAAGCACAACTGGAGCATTATTCCAACTCCTAGAAACAGCATGAGCTCTATCCAAAAGCACTCTAACCTGTTTGAGTACAGTATTGAAGTTTCATCAAGCCAAAGGAATCTCAAAATGTTAAAAAAGATTGTATATGTAAAAACCTAAGCATGTTCTCGAGTTATAGAAAACATGAGAAACTGATTAAGTTCAGTGAAATTACAGTATCCTTTTCTTTTCTTTTTTTCCTTTTTTCTTTTTTTTTTTTTTTTTTTGGGGGGGGGGAGGGGGATTGAAGGTGCCAGCTAGCTTGTGGTTAAGATCTCCAGCTGGTTGTAGAGTATAGGAGAGGATTAGCCCACCCTCCCAGTTGTGTAGCTCATTTGTCCTGCCAAAAAGAAAATTTTATATACAGAAATTATCACCCATGCTCCCTACTTATTGCCCCCCAATACGATTGATCTTAGTTGACTCCTTGTTTGGATAAAGCATCTGCTAATCAATTTGCTTCCCTTTTAATCCAATGGAACTTAACTCTTAGTTTGTGTGACAACTTTCTGATTTCCCTCGTGATGTAACAATGCTTCCATGAACCTAGATTATTTTTTATTAAACAGCTCAATGCAATACTTGAATCCAATGTTTTTAACCTGCCATTGACCCAGACGGTCGAACCATCCGAACCATCACCCGGCCACATTTCCGGTTCCGGTTTCACTAAAACCCATCTTTTAATGAAAAACCGTCGATCAAGTCAACAAACCGTCGACCCGGACAGTTGAACTGTCAACCCGGACGACCCGGTTAGCGGGTGACGGTTAGGTTTAAAATTTTTGAAAATGCCAGACGTGTCCTAACCCTTTGCCCAACCCCAACCCTCTTATATTTTCATTCTCCTTTTACTTTCTTTTTTCATTTTAGGGTTTTGCTGAGAAGAAATGAAGGAGGAATTTCTGTCTTTCAGAAGAAGAGAACAGAGATCCCACCATCTTTGAATGAGAGATTTAGTGCCGGCAACTGCAGTGGTTATCTCCGGTGACTTGCAATCGGATCTGGAGTTTTGGAGGGTTTTGCCGAGAAGAAACAGAAGAGGAGTTTTGGAGGGTTTCGGATCTGTATATATATATATATATATATATATATATACACACACACAGCTCTTATATATGTATAATATAATATATGTCTACATATATATTTTCTCTTTTTTAATATTTTTAATTATGATATCACGGCCTGAACCGTTCAACCCAGACGGTCGAACCGGTGACCCATGACGCAGAGGCAAAAAACAGTTTGGCCTCCGGGTCGGTTTTTAAAACATTGCTTGAATCACCCTCCAAGATAACTTTGGAATTTTGTGATTTGCACAGTTTGAGTCCCTGATGTAAAGCTAACAGTTCAACCCTTCAAGAGCCGCCTTATCCTATAGGTCCTGACTCCTAAATATAGCACAAATATCACGCCATTATACCCCTATATACTCTTCTGATACCTCACTTTACTGGATTTCCCATGCTCCCAAGTCCATCAAAGTTTAGTTTAGCTTGATGCAAATTGAGGGATACCCAAGGGAAGAAGTGTTTATTGTGGCCTCCTATACAATTTCCTTTTCCATCAACAGGAGATAATATTGAAATTTTTCTAGTAGATTCTATCCTGCTTAAAATCTGCTCTAAGGGAACCCCCAGAACCCATAACTTGCTGATTCCACTTTACTAAACTAAGTTCACTTCATCAGGTTTTTAAATAAACCTTAGATTCTAGAACTTGCATTCTTTAAAAACCCAGTTTGTCCATATTTTTAAATCCCTCTACAATTTATACCACTAGCTAATTGGTTAACCTATATCCTACGCATTGATTTCTTGATAGGAAAAGAAGAGGAGAGGGAGAGAAAAATGGGAGAAGAGAGGAGAAAGAATCATTAGGAAAGATGAGAGAGAGAGAGACAGAGACAGAGATGGAATATATAACAAGAGAAGAGAGAAAATAATAAGAGAAAGAAAGGAGAGAGAGGGGGCAAGAGAGAGCAAGGATTGAAGAGGGAGTGACATACATAACTTATTTCATGTAATTGACCTAAATGGATACCCATAAGGGCCATAACCCAACCTAACCAAACCCTTTTTATTAGACCCAATGGATGATGCAACCCATGCTCGACCTACATCTTATGGATTGTTTTGGGTGGGTAATAAGTGAATGGGTTGGATGGGTCAGGTAGGTTGGGTTAGAATTTGCCATCCCTGTGTATGTAGGCTACAAAGCAAAATCATGGTAGATCTATTATCCTTCTCTTCCTCTTTCTTGTTATTGTTTTCTTTCTCTGCAAGTTGACAAGGTAGTTGGCCCCACTTTATAAGTTTCTTTCAAATATCAGGCTTTCTTTCCAGGTTAAATCTTTTTTTTCCCAGAAGTTATATCATCACACCATTGTTCATGAACCATACCATTTTGAATGCTTGTGCATGCACACATGCACGTATGGACATGAATGTATACATAAACATATAGGCAACCACGACTACATATCTATGTTTTTAAAGGCATACAAACAGCCTAATGATATTTCAATTTTTTCTAACCAATAATAAATTGATTTTATTGAACAGAGGATGGCAGGTACAACATGATATACAAGAAGAAACTCCACCAGGAAAAATGGCACTATAATTTAGAATTCATAATCAAGCTATTCAGAAAGTCATAAAAAAGATGCCAAATATTTAATTCATCAACAACTGCAAAACAATGAGGAAATAGAAATGTAAAACAACTAGCATGGCCAACTGCATATATGCTACACACCTGCCCAAGCTTAACCTCTCCTCTTTTAGGGTTGTACAGCACATGAGTGTTACATATAACAACTTGATTAACAAGTTTTGAGCTGCAAAAATGTAGTTATTTACTTTAAGCAAGAAGTCTAATTAGCAAGCACTGGAACCTTAAGTACTACAGATTCAAGCAATCAAAACCTGGCCGGAGAAAACCTCAAAAATTCAAGTAAACAAATAAATCGTCGCAATACCACTTTGCATTAGGATTCAATGGCAATGGAGTTTCTTCCAATTATGTTTGACCACACATTAAAGGATTAAGAATCAACAAATTTACTGTTAAATACCAATCATACAAAAGTTAACATCATTTGCTATCTATTGGTCCATATGGAAGGAAAGAAACAAAGATAAGCATGACCAGGACAAAGGAGCGAGGAGTACAAGCAAAGCTGTCTTACATCATTAAACTTCAAAATGGATTAGATCATAGGTAATAGCTTTCCAACTGCATAATATTTGGAGAAAAGAGACAAATTCATGAGAAACTTGCTAGATGCAAGGTAGTGTTATGGGCCCAGGCTGGGCTAGGCACGGATTCCAAGCAACATAAGTCTGAGCTTGGGCCTACACAAGTCAAGCCTGATTCCAGGCCTATAGCTTTTATGTATAAAATATTAAATATATATAATATTTTATATTATATATAATATGAATTATAGGTGTCATATTATAACATTTATATAGGACAATTTAGTGCACGAGGCTCCCACCAATGTAGGGTCCGGGGATGGACATATGTACGCAGCCTTACCCTTGCACATACAGAGAGGTTGTTTCCAAGATTTGAACCCTGGTCACCCAGGTCACAATGGAGTAACCCAAACATTCGTATATAAAATATATAAATATAACATAAAATAACATATACACATATGTATAAATTATGTATAAATAACACATGCACACACATACATATATATATGGGGGAGGGGGGGTAGACCTGAAGTGTTGAGCCCAAGCCTGGCCCTGAAATCTGTAGGACAATTGCAGGACTGGGCCAGGCCTGAGCACAAAACCTAAACCCAGGCCCAGAATTGCCAGGCCAATATGAAAATGATCACCCCTACTCCAAAGCATCCTGCCCCTCTTGCTAAAAGCCTTCGACTTACTGCCAAGAGGGGATCAGATTTGGAAGGCCTGGGGGAGGTACCCACTTCCAACCAAACAACCTCAAAATGGGAACCCATATTTTGTATGAGTTAAACAGCATTAGATGAGCAAGTGCTGAATGGTCTCAACTGCACCACACCACACAGCCAGCCTTGGTTGATGATAATCATCCTTTTTGTTCCTAGATCCAACTCCAAGGGAAATTTACCACATCCAAAGAAGCAAAACTTCAAAATAAGGATTTAACCAAGAATTTGCAAGAGCCATCACCTATCCACCAATTTGGCCAGACACCATTGGTTGTGGTTTCATCTAGTTTACCTCACCCAACAAAGCAATGGACGAGTCAACATCCCAATCATCCACCAGCCCTCTCAGTCTTGGAGCCCAAACAATATGATTTCCAATGATATCATGACAATCTATTACCATGGTTAGTTTATATTGGCCAGAGCATAAATGTTGGGATAAGCAAGGTAAAAAGGGGAATTGCCACACTGCAGATCCTTCCAAAAGTAGATATCCTCACTATTACCTGGTTTAAGGATAATGAATTTAAAACATAGGTGATAGGACCTTGTTTTGCCTAATACCTCTCCATAGGTTTGTGTCATAAGAATCATTTAGGGGATTTGTTCCCTATCCAAGACCAACCTCCCCATACTTACATGGCCTAGAAAGGATTAGAGAATCATCTGCAAATTGAAGCAGTGTAATTGGGCTACAATTATTTGAGACTCTGAAACCTTGAAGATAACCTCCATCCTCTACCCATTTTACCAATCTTCTAAGAGCCTCCACCACAACGATGAATAATGGGGGTCCCCTTGTCCAAAACCCCGTTCTCCAACAAAGAATCCCCTAGGAGTGCCATTGACTAGTATTGAGAAATGTACAGAAAATAAGTAGCTTCTGATCCATCCCCACCATTTCAAACCGAATCCCATGTTTTTTGAGGGAGATAGTCAACTAAAACCCCATTTCACATGGTCATAGGCCTTTTCCATATCCAGCTTATAAATCACACCCAGCTCACCTAGCCTCAACTTTGAATCAATACACTCATTAGCCATGAGAGAACCATCAAGGATCTATCAACTATCCGCAAAAGCATCTTATGAGGGAAAAATAATCAAACCCAACACTCTTCTAAGCCAATTTCCTAATACTTTAGATATTACCTTGTAAAATACTACCAATAAAACTTTTTTTGAGAGAGAAGGCAACTTTCATTAAGATAATCAAACTAATTGTCCTATAATCCCTAATATCATATGCTCCTTGAGACTTAGGCATCAAAGAGCCGATTGGCTTGGCTTATTAAATATAGTTTGAGGGGGATCCTATAATATTGAAAATGTTCTTTATTTACAGTATCTTGGCTTCTTTTGTTAATCTATGCAAAAAAGTGTACTAAGGATTTTCCCTTTTAGATCATAGAACAAAATTTACTCACCAGGAAAAAGGAAGGAAAAAAATAACAACTTGGCAATGTTAGTGGTGTTAGTGAAGGGGTATTTCAGTCTTTGTACTTGTTGAGAATGCTGATGTGTACTGTTATATTAGTTCRAGTGYCYYTTACTTAAAGAAGGGCACTCAAGTCTTTTCCAATAAGTTAATAATATAATAACAGGTCTGGCCGAATCAAGGGATTAACTTTTTTCCCTAATTCGAACCAGCCTTTCT